TTCTAAATAGATAATAGTTTTGAAAAATGTGTATGAAGCTAAAGTTAGTTGAGTTAGCTTCAGATTGAACGAATAAAAAACTGTTCCCTTTTTACTACGAAACCATGTTTGGACATCGATTTATCGGCGAGTTACTTGTTTCGTAAATATATAAAATCGAGTTAAGTTGCAACTTTGTTGTCAGTGCAGGTGTGTTTTGAAAAAAACGTGACCACAATGTCTCAAGTGACCCTTTTGGATGAGGTCTCTCAGTGGAACCAGGAGACCTGTCAACAAGAGCTCAAAACGGTCCTGCCCAAACTAGTTATATCCTTTCCTGACTTCCTTCACAAATTCATTTCACTTGTAGTTCAAGGCAATGTATGAATGTACATACACATGTATTTGATCGTTTAAGACTACCTTAGTGTCATTTATGTAACCAAGTGAGTAAGATTGGCCTTGACACTTAAACGCCATGCACCATGACACTGACATCTGGGAAAAGCACACAAGTAAGTCTGACCTGTCATTAATAAGAAATTGTTCTAGACCTGGCATATCTCTGGACCTCCAAACATAAGCTTATATATATATATATATATATAAACCTGTTCTAAGTTAATTTTGAGGGATTTCTAAGCAAGTTAGTTAAAGCAAAAGTGCAAAATAAGAGTCCATGTGATCATTTAATTAAATTATCTTCAACAGGCTCCTGTTTTTAAATTGTGGAAGCTTTCATTGCTTTTCTCAATAAATGTTTTATTTTTATTACCTACTTTGTTGATTCTTTTTTTTTTTTATATATATATATCTCCACAGATATTCTTCAAATAATCACAAGCAGGTTCCTCCCTCATCTTTCTTTATCTGAATTAGAGACGGGGTGTTTCTCCACTGTCTTACCCAAGGTTTGAGATTTAGATGTGGTTTTGAGATTTAAATGTCGGTTTTCTAGTTGGGCTGAGCATTTTTTTCTATTTGAGTACTTGATAGCTCATTTAAATAAGTACTTGAGTACTCAAGGTATCATGAAGATAATGAAACCGTTTTAAAAAAAAACACACTGTTAATGGAAATAATATGATTTAAAAAAAATAACACCGCTAGTTGTAATTAATAATACTTTTTTTTTTTTTTAAATGCAACAGCTGAAAGGAATAAAGTTGTTTCAGACAACACAGTTGTAATGAATTATGTTATGTGTTGCATGAGCTAAAGCTGAAAAGTGAATAAACACCGGTAAAATGAAGCTTCTGAAAATATTCTATATATAGCCTGAAATATTTAACAGGAAGCCTGTTTATATGTGTTGTCATGTACGATCCACAGGTGGTAAAAGTGTTTGCCAGTCTTTTGGAAGAAATCAGCAAGCAAATTGGAGGCCTCTCTAGTCAGAACACAGAGCTGCATGTGTTTTTGCGAAATATCTTGAAGGTTTGAATATGCTCAATTGAAATAGAAATGAAATTTCTTTATTTGCTGGTCATAGTGATTTCTGCGGTTGTGTTTTTGCCAGATGATGGTCCAGACCCTGGAGTCTCTCTCTGGCTGTGTGCATTATGTCTGTTCCTGTGAAGAGTCTGTCTCATTTGATGCCATTCGCTCTCTGCCCTCTTGCATTCTCAGCATCCTAAAGGACACCTTCCAGCATTGCAAGGTACCACATTAATTTTTATATAGTGCACTGGACATATTTTTACACCATCAACCATTAATTGTGAGCACACCTTTATAAGGTTGTGCCGATAGACGATAGTATCGACAATAGTCAGAGATATCGCCTGTGGCTGATGCCTTTGACGATATCATTACAAATATTATTATTATTAGGTTAGTATTATTATTAGGCATGTTCATTTTAACCGGTTAACCGTTAACCGACCGTAAGAATTTTGACCGATTAATACAATCAGTTAGGGTAAACGTACCTATTAAGCTCACCAAAATCTACATTGAGACATTTTTAGTGCACAAGATATTGGTTTCAGTACAAAAAGTTGTTAAAATAAAATATTAATCTCTCACACAAAAATGTTTAATTTTATTTTAAATGACAAGCATTTCAATTAAGATATACATCATTAAATTCAAAAAGTCTGGCTGTGCTTAATGGGTACATGTTTGTACCCTTTAAGCACACCCCTGTTCCCATTAAGCTCACATCATGTTTTATTAAAAATTATTGTTTATTTTAAGGAATTTTTTTTAAGAATAATTGTAAAAATATTTTTTGGAAGGTACAAAGTCAATCACAAAAAAAACAGAACACTAAAATCAAGCAACAAGACATTCAAGTCATTCAGTTATATATATTCATAATGAAGTGTCATTTAAGCACATTGCAACATCTATACTAGTCCATGTTCAGCTAAGTAACATTCGAAAATCAAATAAAACACACCAATACAACATTTAATTCATGGGGATGAACACAGAAACTTGCCTCATTATGAAACCTCTTTTTAAATGGATGTCAACTTATCTATAGTCTCTTATGGCTGGAATACACTACATGATTTTTGCCCCGATTTTCCACAGATTTACTGTCTGGAGAAGTTGATGCTAGTTGCCAAAGGCCAGAGCCAGTCTGTAGATTTGAGTTGACAGAATCTATAGAAAATCGATTAACTTAACTTAGTGACAACCATCAGTTTATATGTAAGTCTGTTTATGAAGTATTTACATAGACGTTCAGTGTGGAAGAGCTTAAAGAGAACACACTGAGCATATCTCAGTGTGCAATGATCTGATTGACTTGAAATTACAGGAGGTATATAGTAACAAACACATCAATTGGTTAAGACATCAAGTAGGATAATACTTTTTTTTTTCTTTTTATAATCTGATCTCAAAAATGGAAGTGTGCTTAATGGGTACGTGAGCTTAATAGGTACGTTTTTTTTTTTCAGTAATTTATCAAAATATTTAAAAAGGTTTGCTGCATGGTTAAAATACGCTACGCATATAAAAAAAAATGTTTTTTTAGAAGAAAAAAAAACATGTCGCATTTTATTATTTCATGTTAACATTTCATGTCAAATGTTTACAAACATTATAATAAACACTGTAAACATAGCTAGGCTATTTTAGTTCCCCTCACTCCACAACAAATCCTTTCAATTAACAGTATTTAGAAAAGAACAAGAATTAAAGAAGCAATAGCAATATAAACGACAAGCCAAAACGAATTCATTTAGGCTAAAACAAAACTGAAACCAA